AGCATGCTTTTACATCCAATTCTTTAATGACCACTCATGGACAGTGGCTTGCATAATTAAGCTGTAAACAATTTGACAATTTAGTAGTACTTAGTTGCTTTTGGAGGAATTACATCTAAAATGTGGTTAGAAATCATCTTAAGACTGAGAAGTGTTTTGAATGCATGAAGGTAGCATTTCTATTTAGGTTTTTCATACATGGATGAATTTTTAAGAACAAGTTTCTTTAAGTATTATAAAAGTGTAAATTGATCGAATGAATTACTGATATTATAGGATATTTTTCACCATATTCATGAACTGTTCAACAGTGCTTATCCTTTAGGTTTTTATAGCGTTGACCACTGTTAAAACAAATATCTTACTGAATGCATTGTGAATAAATTTACTTGTTTGATTTGCAAAAGTGTATTACTGTGCAACACTGTGAATAATAGGTAAATGATCTTTTTTGTTGTACTTAAACCTCTCCATTGGATGAAGTAGGCTATTGAGAATTATTATTTGACTTTGCCAGATAGCATCAAATGAAAGCTAAGAGTTGAAGTTCACGAGAAATCCTTCCACCTCACTTGGTTTAGTTGAAGAGCAAAGTTAACCAAGATGTTGTCTTGCAAATTTCATTCTTCAGAGACAGAGCAAATTAGATGAAGTAACAGGGAGGACTGGGGAAGCTGATGGTTTGAGAGGCATTCCAGTTACACAGCCTCCCCTCACCACACCCCTGGAAAGAAGAGATATTCCTCCACAACTGAGCATGACACTGGAGCTCATTGTGGGCTAGTTGGATGTGCTAACACGTTTGGTGTGCAAACATTTCTGAACAGGGAAGTATTTTAGAAAACCAAGCGCCTTGGGGGTGGGGTGGGATGCACTCCTGTTAATGACCCCATCATGCTAACACACATTGAGGAGAATACCAGGGGTTGAAGAGGGACCCACATCAGGAGGAAAGAAGCAAAAGAGTTTCGTCCAATGAAAAGTTTACACATATCAACCACGGATCAATATCCTTTTTAAAACATCCTCCCTTCAACAAGACACGAGTCCACGAGTCTTAGAAACAGGGGGCACGGCTTTTGGGTACCCAGTTTAAGAATACACTGTTTTATATCTGTGTGTACATATCATATAAAGTTACTATGGCAATATAAGAACCGCAATCAGATTAATTAATTAATTAATTAACTATTATTACCGACCTTTGCTGTATATTCAAACTTTCACGATGCCACACAACGACAGCATCAAGGGGAAAAACTCCCTATTTTGTGCATACACTGTCCGAACAGACTGGGTTCGGAAACATCTAAATTCAATTAAAAGTACAAAACTTTGCATGCTGATCAACACAGTTCGCGTGTTTCGAGCTTACGAACGATGTGAGCGTGACAGAGATCCGCGAGAAAACAAAACATCACTTTCACATTCATTCCTCCTCATATCCGTTATCCTTTTCCCTATTCCTGATTTTGCTAACTAGAAGTTACACCCGAGCCTGTCCGATCTTGTCCGAACGATTTCCGAATATCGTGTCGTACTGTTAAAATGGCCGCTTGGAGAGTACTTCAAGAACACAGTCAAGAAGAATCTTGAAGTGGTATGAGAGGCTTTTGCACACTGAGACAGAGGAGAAAAATGCTCCGTCTGCAGAGGGTCGAAGGGAATTGCTATGATCCATCTCTACAACCAGAAAAAATTTTGCTAAAACCGACTGTCACTCGTCTCGGACGCAGTGATGAATATTCAGATGTTGTTATTGACAGTGTGATATCTCCTTTAATGATCAGTCGTGTTCACGCTGAAATTCATTTCAGCAATGGAAAATTCAGAATTGATTGTAAAGGACTGAACGGGCTGCTAGTCAACAAAACAAAGCGTAGCTCTGCTGTCCTATGCGATGGTGATGTTGTTGTCTTTGGAGGTGCTGGCGTTAAAACGAAAAAAGGACAGAGTTTGTCAGCTTACGATTCGGAGCTTGTGTATGTTTTCAATGAGGTCTGCCAGAATGATTCTGAAGAAGTGGGCACCCTTGGGGAAGGAAAAAGCGATGGAAGCGTGCGAAGGCGAAGCAAACGGAAAAAGCCCGCATCACTAAGTGAAGGAGTGAGGTATGGGTACATAACACTCAGAAGTAGGGGTAGTAATGATGGGGAGTAGGGTCACTTGACCTAGAAAAGGAATGTAGGGTACTAGACAGAGAAATAAATACTCTGGAAAAAAATTTCAAGGGGGTG